GCATCATTTCACCGTACGCACAGATCACGCCAACCTACGCTACCTTGCGGGAGCAGACAAAGGGAGGTGTTCCGCTGGGCGCTGGCGCTCAGCAGGTTCAACCTCACCTTAGAGTTCCTGTCAGGAGAGAAGAATAACATGGCGGACTGGTTGTCGCGGTACGCAGCGGAAGAGTGCGACGCAGAGATCGAGGCAATGGCTTTGGGCGGTAGAGTGATAGGCCACGTGGGCCAACTGCTGGGGAGACACCTTGTGTCGGAAGACGACTTTATGAGAGAGTACCGGCAGCTGGACCGCAAGGAGTGCCTGGAGTGAAGAAGGATGGCAAGTGGTGGCGGCAGGCCATGACTGGCACGGTGTACTGCAGCTAGATGGGCAGAGTTGATGGCTCCTAGTTGTAATGGACCACGCGGCGCGGTACATGGGAGCGTGGATAACGAGCACGGTCACAGCTGCGCAGAGGGCTCGCATCTTCTTGCGGGGCTGGGCTGCGTCCATCTGACGACGGCAACGTACAGCACTGTGGCAAGAAGGACACCGCGACCTGGGTAGGATGATGGCGGCGGTCTGTCGCACGCAAATACGACACCGCACATCAGCACAGGTGTGACACCGTACGAGGCCTTATTCGGAAGACCACCGTACTTCGCGCGGGTGCAAGAGGTAATCGTGACAATGACAGAGGAGCAGAGGAAACAGAGCCTGGCGGCACAGATGCGTGAGAGATTGCAAAGGGCCATGCTCACAGATAGGCCGCTCGAGGAGTCGGGCGCGGATGACCTGCGGGTAGGAGAAATAGTAGTCTCGATGGAGCCAGGGTCACAGGCAGACGCCAGGGGAGGACCGAAGACACCAGCTTGGGCGCACACCGCGTGGCCGCTACCAATGAGGATAACAGAGTTGAGGAAAACGCAGGTAGTGGCAGAAGGGTGCGGCGTGCCGGGGTGGACGGTCACAAAGACCAAGTGAGGAGGTTCAAGCTGAGCACGGATCCACAACTGCGGCCAAGAGTACGTCTCAGGGCAGCGCGAGCAGGCCGAGAACAGGCGGGAGACGACCGACCTTTCGTACGCCTTCCCGACTTAGGGACATGGTAGACATCGAGCATGAGATACAAACACGCACGTGTGTGTAACAAACACGGGGACATCGTTTTCAATCAATTCAACACTACCAACACGAACCCCCAACACGAACTTCCCGCCGCGAATGGACAGACATTATATTTACCCCTCTGGGGACATAAAAACTGTGGCCGAATTGAATTAGTTGATGAGAGCAGCAGCACTGGAGTCAAGTAGTGTAGATGGGGTGGAGCTGATTGCAGCCCTTGTCAACCCCGACGGGACCCTTCCCAACATCGAAGGATGCACTGCTCAGATGATTGAGTTATGCTGTCCAGGTCGTCCCGGCCGGATTGCTCGAGCAGTGGTGATGGTCCCGGAGACACTGACTATGAGAGCGTCTTCGATGGCGGCCTTTGACTGGTTGCACGACTCGAATGGAATCAGGTTTCTGAGGTCGGCCGGACCTTGGCCAGTGGAGGCAGCGGCTTGGAAGTCGGTGACGGAGTTCGTGAAGGCCCTGGGTGAAGGAAGCACGGAACAGAACGGCGGCCCGGTGGCTACTACTAACTTGATTGATGCGCTGGGGGTACAGATGTTCGGCGTACCCGGGTCGCGCATACCGCACTCGGAATCAGTAGATGCTCGGACGGAATTGGTGCACGCTACCGCCTTGTCAAAAAGACAGGCCGGGAAGATATCGAGCCAAATGCCTGTCGAGTGGAGGGCCAAGATCGAAGCTTCGGCCAAGCCAGATGACGAGGTCGACTTGATGACGAGGTCGACTTGATGACGAGGTCGAGTGAAGTCCATTGAGTGAAAGAGATTATGCGCTGTCTAATCGCGCGTGCACACAGTTTGTGCCGAGTACACCGCGTGCCTTCTTTTTTTAGCTGGAGCAAACAACAAGTCGCACACCCTGACGGCTCAACACACCCCCGCGACCGGCCCCCCGGTCTCGATGTCTTGGAGAGTTAAATGATGCTTACGCTAAAAGAGCAAACGTCTGCTTGTCAGCTTAGGCATCGTTTACTCTCCAAGACACCGAGACAAAATATCACTCATTGTGGGTCCAATCCTGACCCGGCGACAAAACGCCTCGTATTTGAACTCGTAGCCGTGCGAGATAAACTTCCGATCGACGAAAATTCGACATATTCAACTTCTGGACTAATTCATTCCCATTGCGCTCACGTATCGTCGTCGACACGCTCATCCTTACTAAGGGGGTTGGACATCACTGACGAGAATGGGAGAGGCCAAAAGATACAGATCGTTGGGGAATGTGGAGAAGTCACCGTTGAGTGAAGAGGTTGTTAAGGCATGTTTGAAAAAAGTGTTGAAGACGCTGGTGAGTGGGCAGTTAGAAGAAAAAGGTCCGAGTAGCCGCAATTCCGGATTGTATTCTGGTACCACTTCCGTCGCTTATATGTTCTATTCTATCTATAATTTGTTGGGGGATGAGTATGAGGTTGAAGGACTATCGCTTATGGATTGGTCACGAAAGTATCTTTCGTTATCTGAGAAGCATGGAGAGAACACAAGCAGTCTTAAAGAATCTGATTGTGGAATTGGGAATGAGAGAATGGCTTACAATGCGGTTGCTTATTGCTTGTACGGCGATGTGAAATATGTACAAGATCTGCTCGAGTGTGGTAGATACGTGGTGAAGCATTCCAAGTCGAATGAATGGTTGTATGGTAGAGCTGGATATTTATACTTCCTTCGATTGTGTAAAAATATCTCTGAGTCCCAAGATTCAGATGACCTGAGTTATGAGATAGATAAGATTGCTGGTAAAGTGATTCAGGCCATTATGGAGACGCCGTGGGAGTGGCGTGGCAAACATTACTATGGCGCTGTGCATGGAGACATTGGTATTATAACCCAAGTCACTTTAACATGTGCCCTTCTAGATCGGACACATTGGGGTTCGTTGCAGCCGAAAATTATATCTAAATTGAAGACCTTGCTAGAACTGTCTTCTTTACAAGAAGGCTGGTTTCCATCATCTGAAGACTCTTCTAGCGGCGATAAGCTGGTACAATTTTGCCATGGTGCTCCAGGTCTCGTCATTTCTCTCAGATCCATTCTGCCCTATTTCGTACAGGACAAAGATCTAACCGCCAAAGCCGAGTCCATTATTGTGACGACTCAAGACGATATTTATCGTCGGGGCTTACTAACTAAAGCCGACTGTCTATGTCATGGGATGTCAGGAAACCTTCTTGCCCTGGAAGATCCACACCAAAGACAACACTACATGCAAGCCATCTGTCAATATGTTGACGAACAGTATGAAGAGCCCCAAAGTCTATACTGTGGTTTAGCAGGGAAGGCGTTAGTTATATGTACCGAGCTTCTCCATATGGAGCGGCTCATGCCAGGATACAACGACATTTAAACTCAGATTTTGACCCACTCGTGTGTGCCACACTCGTGTGTGCATTTTTGACGCACTCGTGTGTGCATTTTTGACCCACTCGTGTGTGTCTAAGTAGGTGAAAAAATACTTTTGATTTCACAATAAAAGCATAGCTAGTCTATCTATTTCCTGCTCAATGAGCTTCGGAATTATATCACTAAACTCAGTCAGGAACTGATCGATGTCTTGTTCAGTAAGGGATGGCTGGTCTCGTTCGGTGAGGATTTGATTTGCGAGGGCAATCGCGCGTCGCATCTCTGTTTCGTCAATAACGGTTGAGGCCTGCACGTCGTCATCGAGACTGATCCAGCTGCTGCCACATGTGGATCCTGCTGCGACGGCTGGCCAGAAGAAGAGCCCATGGACAATTTTGTCGCAGAATCGTGCGTCGATTGCGGGCGCAGCGACATTGGTGCTGCAGAACTGCATGTTTCGGTAGACTCGAGCGTGTATGCGCGATGCCCAAGCTGCTGGAAGTGCTTTGCAGACTAGGTATAGTATAAGGAACAAAGTTACACGACAGTTTTGGCGTTTAATTGTGTCAATTTGGTGTTTTACCCTGTATACATGATCCACTGCTAAGGCTATATCACTCCGTCTATCCGCCTCAGCAAGTTCCGCATTAGCCTGGGCTCTTCGGTCCAATGTACAACAGGAATCCGATGAGTAACACGGATCTGATGAGTAACACGGGTCTGATGAACAACCGTGATCTGACGAGGAGCCGTGATCTGACGAGGAGCCGTGATCTGACGAGGAGTCCGATGAGCAGCAGGAATGCACCCACTGAGGAGGAGACGGAACCGGCAAACTCGTCGGAACCAGGCTCGTATAATTATCCATAACCGATGGCATAGACGTCCTACACATCATCGGAATAATAATGTTCACCCCTTCAACTACCGGCTGAATACTCCCGCCGCAGTGAACATGCGTCTTGCTGCTAAGACCCAAAATCTCTTCCACCAATTGTTTGCATCGATCTTGATGCTTTAATTGCCCAACAGCGTTCAATAAGCAATAACATAACAGATCATTCATTGTGGGCTTGGCCGGAATATCATTCGTCGGTAGAGTCCATCTCATTTTCTTATTTTTAGTAGCGCATAAAGTGTGTGCATATCGTTCGATCGCGAAATTCTGTAATTTCTGACATATATTTCCCAGTTTTTTCTTCTCCACTAACATCGGGGCGCTGTAATGCTTGACTCCAGTACTGCGCATGCTGACATAACCACTTCCCGCCAGCAGACCTTTGTATAGCTTGGTGCCAAAGGCGCAATAGCACAGAAATTGAAGGCTTTCTGTGGCAGCGAACAGTCCATGGTAAATGTAATAAAGACGCTGCTGCCACTTGGGTACTTGTCTTCTGTAATGAGCAGGCAACGAAGTAAAGGAGACGGGTTCGTCGCCCAATCGACTGACAATGCTGGCCATCATACCCACACCGTCCGCGTATGCGTGATTCCACTTGCTGGCAATAAAACTGTAGCCGGATCCTCTAATATCTCCTTTCTGTACAGCCCTCATAGGCGATTGGGGTTTCCCATCTGTGCCCATACAAGTGGTTTTGTTATCCGCTTTGCTACCGTCGCTAGCAGGGGTTATGAACCACACTTCCCACTGCGGCTGCTGTTCGGGCAAGTCAGCCGTGCTAAGCTCGCTCATTACCTGGGCGATGTTTTTCTCCTTCAGGTTCAGTTTAACGTGCTTTATGTGATTATCAACATCGAAATGTGGATCTTCGCGCCAAGTCCACCTCCCCATGACCTTCGTTAAAATGCATCTAGTCTTGGGTTCCCAGGTGATCCAGCGTCGTACATAAGCTTGCCTGAAGGTTTCAAAGTCCATTTGTTCCGTAATAAACAGCATGCTCAATTGGAAACGGGTGTGCTCATCATCGAAGAAATACATCTCATCATTCGGGTAAAGAGGAGTCAAAGGCGGCTTTACACTTAGCCATCTCTTGAACAAACCCATATCGATTATCAGAGACTCATCAGATGCTTCCTTCTTAGACCAAATACGACAAAGCTTGACGACTAAGTGCATCACGTAGACATACGTCTGGAAAAAAACCTCGTGAACCCAGTTCGAACATGTCCACTCCATCGGAGGCCTCACATCGTTGGGATAAATCTTCGTCGGCCTCCCTGCCTGGGTCGTCGCTTTAACCACCTTGCTCTTCTTTGCATGTCGCCGCCGGGCAGGCGTACATGGCGAAGGTGTCACCAATACTGGGTCACCATCTGGCTTGCTCATTTCCTCACTGCCACCTTGGGTTATACTCGTTTCAGCGGCAAATACCAAAGTCTCTTTAGGCAGATGCTTAGGGCTCTGATGAGGGCTTTGTAACGGACTGTTCTGGAAACTGCTTGCCACCGGATCATTTTCTTTGTCAAACAACGGCCTCGTAGCAGCATCTCCAATACATTCTCGAGAGGAAACTCCTTCTTTTCGAAAGATTGCTTCGTCCGAACAAACGGCTTTATCTGAGACGGTCACCGCATCATTCCTACCTTGAGGGTTCCGTTCTTCAGATTTCCTCTGTGCGTCATCGCTCTCGTCGTCCGGGGGCACAGGTGAAGCATGTACGGACGCCATATAGCAGTCGAAACTCGTTTGGCATGCTGCGATCTCCCACGCGTCCGGTTCCTGCAAGTAGGCTTGATGTGCGTTGGCAATGGACATGGTCCAGAAGCAATAGAGGTGTAGCTCATCTATGACGCATCCCACAAACAGTAAGGCTGTGAGTGCAAGGCTACCAAGACTGAAGAGTACGGTGATCAGGAAACCGGACATGTACAAGAATAGGTTCGCGGCGATTACAAAAGCCAAGCCGCTTTTGGACTGGGCCGATCGGAACGACTGCCGCCTTAACGGAATAGAACCCCAAGCAATACCAGCTAGACGACCCAACAAACTTCCTATCAAGCTTAGTAGGTGCGGCCCCTCCTCCTCTAAGTCCTGTGGAGGAGCGGGGATGGTGTTTACCTTCTTCAACCGCTCCGTCCCTTTTAAACTAATACGTCTTCTTCTTAAATGACTATCGTAATCAGCCTCACTAGTTGTCGTTAATCGAGAACTATCCGACGGCACCGGCCAACCATTGGCTGCCCTCTTGTCCCTTAACTTAGCACTCTGCAACCTTATCAGTGATTTAACCGACCACATCAGAAATTATGCTGCTCCTTATATACGGACTGGAGCATGAAATTGCCACAGAGATCCTCGCCAAGTTCCAACACTTTATAGTCACTCCAGCCCAAAACGTAGAACACCTCAGTAACATCATTAACCCCCACCCCCAACCCCCGACCCCCACCCCCCACCCCCATCATCACCACCCCCGGATGAGGGTCCCCGATCTATCTCCCCGACCAATATAATCTATCAGGCGTTACATCTTCCGTCGACTCGCGGTATGTAGTGTCGAGCCAAGACCCTGCTACTCTTCCCCTGGACATGGATGTGTTAATGTAAGTTCTCCTACTCGGCGTGTTCTATAATCGGTGGGGTGTAAGTTCTCCTGGTGTAAGTTCTCCTGTTCTGTTGTGTTGGATCTGGTTCGGCCAAAGTGTTCGATTTATGTAGGCGGAGACCTATGGTTGTACGACTGTATTTGAGATCGCCGTATAAGCAGTTGTACCTTCGTCGATCTGTGGAAGCGCCCGAGGTCGTGGACTACTACGACCGCATAGCGTTGTGGCACAAGAAATACCCGCCTAGCTGCAGCTTTACTCTGAGCCACTTGCTGGAGCTTTTCTCGCTTTCTTTGGCACAGGTGGGTGCCGACGCGCTGCTGGTGGAGCGGACAGTTCTGCACAGGAATGTCCCACAACGAGCGCGTGGGCCCTACGTGGCCGACTGGCTGATTGTCTCGCACGGAGACCCGGAGGCGAATGAGCCGTGTGGCTTGTCCTGCTCGTCGAGCTGCAACAGTTCGCGTTCCTGTCTCTCCGTCAGTGACGACAGTCCAGACCACGGACTTGGCCTCGACGAATCTCAACCGGTTCTGAGACCTGACCAGTCTCAAACAGGACTGTGGACAACAGAGAATGAAGATCTTTTTAGGGATAAGGGAAGTCCGGACGCCGCCCGTAGTCTGGAAGCCGAGGGTCTAAGAGGCGATAGTCAGGTGGACAAGTTGTTAACTCGAGAAGAGGGGTCGTCCAGTAGTGGATCGTCAAGCCGCCGGTCGGCGCGTTCGGACGAAGAGTTGGACTCGCGTGGGTTACTGCGGCCCCTTCCCTCGCCACTGACCGAGTGTATTCGCTTGCCCTGGGACTCCTACTTCATTAAATTGGCGGAGTATACATCTAAGCGGTCGAATTGTCGGAAGAGACGTGTTGGGGCTTTGCTGGTTCGCGAGCGTAGGATTATTTCAACGGGTTATAACGGCACTTCCTTTACGTCTGAAAACTGCTTGGACGGAGGTTGCACTCGCTGTCAGCAGCCGGTCATTCGGGCGGGGCAGATGCTTGACAGATGTGAGTGTATACATGCCGAAGTCAACGCCCTTTTGGGAGTCCAACGCGAATTGGCCCAGGGCAGCTCCATGTTTGTAAACCTCATGCCCTGCTTCTCGTGCGCCAAACTCATCGTACAGATGGGCATCTGTCGCGTTGTCTACATCGACGACTATGACGGAGATGACGCCGCCCAGTACATGAAGAAACACCGCGTAATAGTCAGTAAACACGGAATTAGAGAGTAAACACCAACTCATAGTTAGTTAGGAACTACACACACGTGTGTGTGGAACCACACACGTGTGTGTGGAACTAAGCACGCGTTGAAAGGTGCAGGCGAATGCGTCAGTTTATCCTCAGTGTTATAGCATACGTAGCCGTCCAGGCCGAGCCGGTGCCTCATCACCATGTGGACCATCACCATCATCACCCACATCACCTGCCGATCCACCGTCCCCACCACCACGTGCCCATTCCGGGGGAAACGTTCCACGCCGGGAGCGCACAATACAAGCCCGTAGTGATCACGTATAGTGGGGGGTTGGTGGGTCCACGAGCCCGGGGACTGGACCCGGAAGAGGCTGCGGCCGTAGAGGAGGCTGGTGCTGAAGTCGTTCGTGCTGAGGAGGAATTCGTCACACCGGCGGGAGACGTCGTTGTAATCACTGAGGTCGGTAGCCACGTAACCTCACAAGAGACGGAGGAAGAGACTACTGGGGATGAAGAGGAAACGGAAGAAACTACCGCGGAGGAGGAGGAGGAGGAAGAAGACACTACGGAGCAGAAGGAGGAGGAAGAAGAGACCACAGAGGAGGAAGAGGAGGCTGCTCTGCGAGAAGAAGAGGAGTCCACTGAGAAAGAAGAGGTCACTGAGGAGGAAGTGACTACTGAGGAGGAAGTGACTACTGAGGAGGAAGAGACTACTGAGGAGGAAGAGACTACTGAGGAGGAAGAGGCCACTGAGGAGGAAGTGACTACTGAGGAGGAAGAGGCCACAGAGGAAGAGGAAGGGGCTGCTCTGCGAGAGGAGGAAGAAGAGGCTGATGTCACGGCAGATGAGTCCGTTATTGCTACCGTAGCTGCGAAGGAGGCGGTGGAGGAGGCCGAGGAGGACGAGACGACGATCGAGGGACTGCCGTCTCTAGACGAAGTGGTTTCAGATGAGGCTGAGCTGACGGAAGAGTTGTCGTTGCCGACCTTGGATGCTTCAGACAAGTTGGAGGAAATCAAGAACCACGGCGCGTCGACGGCAGACAAGCTGAAGGATGCGGTGACTTCGCATGCACATACTTTGGGGCAGAAAGCAGGCGAGTTGAGCGAAAGGATCAAGGAGACGGCAGCGGAGTCCCAAGAGAAGGCGGCCAAGATGCAAAAGGAAGCGGTGAAGAACTTGAAAAAGGCCCACAACGAGGCGAAGAAGAAGGTGCAGGAGACTGCCGGCCAACTGAACCAATTCCGTAAGAAGACCCAGAATGCTCTGGCAGAACGACTTAGAGATGACACCGTCGTTGCAGAACGCAGGAGACTCGCCTCCTCCGGCAACACCCAGCTTCCAACAAATCCCGCAGCCCTCGCAGCCAGTGGCGTCGCAGTGGGCGGCATGGTTATGCTTGCAGGTATTGGTTTGCTAAAAAAACGCCAAGCGGCTGCAGGAGATGATATTCAGGAATCAGTCTCCAACATGGACGACATTCAAATTATAGACACTGAACAGTTTGATCTTTGAGCTGCCTTTTTCCATTAACTTTTTATCTTTGTCCACCTCTATCATGTGACCGTTGGCCTCTGGGCTTTGGCCTGGCTCCATGGGTCTCGCTTCACGGGTCTCGCTCCATGGGTCTCGCTTCACGGGTCTCGCTCCACGGGTCTCGCTCCACGGGTCTCGCTTCACGGGTCTCGCTCCACGGGTCTCATCGTCACCCTATCATCCCATAGGAGACTTCTCTGTGGGTTGGGTGGGCTTGGTCAGATCAGAGTCGCTGTGTGCGTTAGGCCACGGATATGACTTGTCCGTTCGCCATCTGGACGTTGCTCACCGGCACACCGTAGCCGGGTTCAAAGGAGCCTGGGGGCATGGAGGTCATGTCCATAACGTCGGATGGCAAGACCCACGGGTCTCGTCCGGCGTCTATCGCGTTAGCAATGGAGCCGAAGATTCCGAGCATCCACATCAAGGCCGCTACGACGAGGACGGTAAGGGACGTGAACACGATAACCCATTGATATTTTAGTGCTGGTTGCATGACAGTTTCGTTCGTCATTTGTACCCAAAATAAGCCGAGTTGTACGAGGGACAAAATAACGCAAGGCCATATCATCCACTTGGCTGCACGAATCATGTCTGAATTGTTTTGGAAAATTCCAAGCAAAGCAATTCCAGCAACTAGACATTGTACAACCCCTGGTAAACAATGGATCATAAAGTCCGAACCACCAGCATTGTACTGAATCATAATCGCTGACACACCATTCAATAACCAATAGGTCGTGATGCAGACCCCCGCGGTAGCCAGAGGCATGCAACCACAACACGCCCGCGTCTTGTAGTTATTAACACATCTATCGTCATTCATTTCCAACAACTTGCACCAATTCTCGCACCCCGCGTTGTCGAAACTGTTGGCGATGCAGCTCCAATACAGGGAGGGGGAGAGGCTTAGGGGACGGCACCAGAATAGGTTCACAGCGATATAGCAGCGCATAAACGGGCTACGAAATTTTAGGCCGGTTCTTGTAAAGAAGATGATGCGCTTCCTTAAACCGCTGAGGCCTAACTTCATTGACATATTTTTCTATCCATACCTCACGCCTTCGGATCTCTTCTTCCTGACCAAATCTTCCGAAAAGCTTCATTCTCGGGTGCAGAATCGAAAGGCCGAAGACCACCAAAATGAAACCGATCCAAGATCCTTGGAAAGCTGCCATGTAACGCAACAGGTAAACACGCGCCGGCTGCAACCTTTGTAGAATATTGTCATCGTCAAACAGCTTGGTTATGAGCAAATGATAAATCACCAAGCCTGAAATAAAGCATGTAGATGCGCATTTGCAATGATGTTCGTGTGCTTCCGCGGCGTATTGTTACGCCTACGCGTGTGCACACGCGTGTGCACACACGTGTGCTCGAGGGTGTATTATCATGGATTCTGCGTATGTGTTGTGATATCTCTTGACTACCTAAGAAGATTTGAATGCCATAGAAAATCCAAGACTTCCCGGAAAGATCTGCGCCGATCCGCCCCCTCTGCATAATTAAAAAATGTTAGAAAATGATATTGCATCGTTGCCCATTGAAGTTTTAGCGGAAACGTATCGACAAGCTTTGGGAACAGTCCATAATACGAAGGATGCGGACAAAGAAGTAGCGGCACGGGCAAGTAAATTCTTAGCTGATTTGATAAGTTCGCCACAAGCATTAAGTGTGGTTGTCTGGATATTGCATGAGCCTCAAATATCGGCATTAAGAGATAGTGGTGTGGACTTAGAGCAATTCGTGTTTGTGTGTCTGGGTACATTGGTCCGTTGTATGGAGTCTGCGCCATCTTGGGAGAATAAGTGGAAGGTACCATGGTTGGAGGGAATGAAGAGATTGAGGGATTTTATTGATACAAGTTTGTTGGGAGAGAATCATTGGTTGATACAGATGATTCTGCAGTCCCATTTTTTGAGCAGCAAGTTACAGCAAGTGATGGGTTTATTATTTGTTTCGTTCACCATGAAGACGTGGCCTACCTTCAGTCGCTTGGTAGAAGGGCACTATGGGAACACGCAACGTTCATTATTGTTAGCCCGGTTCCTAGCGGGTAGTTTGGTGGAATTATGCGCCCAGTTGTCCATGTCGAACCCTAGCTCTGCAGTGAGTGCAAAGAAGATAGATAAAGTTTCCCGAGGGTTGAGAGAGCACGAGATTTGCGAACTCTGCGTAAGAATATTCCAAGCACTCCCCAACGACTTGGATAACGGAGATGAAATGTTCTACTTGGCTCATGCCAAACTACTCGACGAATATACTCAGCTCATAGCCAAGTCCCAACCACATCGGGTCGGCAATCAGACCTTGGGAGACTGGTTTAATTTCGACTTGTTCGTGCACCCACGGGTCCTTGAATGCCGTGCATTTTCTCAGCTTTGTGAGTGCTTCGGGAATATACTGACAACATTGATCTGCACAAGGTACCGCGGCGGGTACTTTTATCAATCCCTGCCCGCGGCCAGACTTGTGCCCGTGCTGGAACAAGCGGTGGAAGGTATCAGGATAGTGACACAAAAGGCCTATCTTATAAACCTTATCAATGGAGAAGCGGACGACACCAGCTTGTTAATACTTTGTCGTATGGCGGATGTTTTGCTTGACTTGCTTCTAAAAGCTCCTCCCCATATCTGGTGCGAGTACTGGAAATCAATCTCCTTGGCTATGATGATTTACCTCGTACACCCTCATCTTGGCTTAGCCGTAACTGGAATCAACATCCTCACGAACCTGATGCAGAATACCAAGAATCGAGCACGTGATTGTAAAAATAGCACAGTAATTGGACTTGCTCTCAAGCTCATCTTGTATCGCTGCATCAGAGTAACCAGTCTGGAGCCAGCCACATTTGTGGACATCGCAATCACTTCGCTTGTCAATTCAATAGTACTTCAAAATCTAGGAATCATCACAACCAAAGAGGAAAACGATGCCCTAACATCTATCAGTTCAACAGACTCCTGGCGCTCAAGAACTGAAAATTGCGCCTTCGTCATGGAAGATATGGAGTCTGACACCCGAATTGTTTTAGCCACCTATACCACTACTATCAAAACCGCTCTTGCCGGACTCATAGGGGCGTTTGTCATGGACAACGACATATGGCAGAAGTTCAAGACCATCGTACTGCAGGTCTGCGGGGAATGGACGGATAATGACAACTTCAAAACCTCTCTTACGACCACGTATCCCGTGGACTCAAATATCAGCGTTAAATTACGAGGCTATATATCCCCTTCATATCAACTCATTGATACGATTTGTTTAATTGGATTGAGTGCTCAAGATGCTCTCCACGGTGAAAGCAAAGTGTTGGGTGATAATAAATCTGGGGGTAACCGTGGATTGAAGGAGGTCCAGGAACACCGGATTCAAGAACTTGTTATCACCATCGTGCGATTCATCATCAGAACTCCCCTTACTTGGATTGACCATTTCATGACGCTGCATCATACCGATACTGGTCCGGGTCCCTTATACAATCCTGCCGCTGATCCATCGAAATTCGGATCGCACTGGCATTGGATAGAGTGGAAACGAATTGGGCTTCTAAGTTCATGTTCGGGAATATTGCGACCACCGGAGAGTTCTGATGACGCAGCCGGTTCCAGCTTGGCAGATAGCAAGCAGTTGGCAGATAGTAAGCAGTTGGTACATGGTAAGCAGTTGCTAGATTTGAGAACTGAGATCGAGGCATTTCTAAGCAAAAGAATATATTTAGACGTGCCTGAGCAATGGTCTTCAGTATTTCATGTGGGTCAATGTAATGGCGATGAAGAGGACATATTTTATCTGACTAGACGGAAGTGTTACAGTGCGTTTGCAAGTAACAGTTATTCGAATACCGCGGTTGACTTTCTATTGAAACGTATGGTTCAAAAGGGCAGTCAAAACCCATCTGAACAGCATGTGATTATCGATACCTTGGTTGCTCTTGCCGCCTCAATGGGCACCTATGAGATGAGCTGCAGAGCCGTATCGGAGCTATTGCCTAGAGTGTTTAGAACAGATAGCCTGAGCCAAATGTTAAGTAGTCCCGAACGTGCGAAACTGTTCGTGCAGTTTATTTGTGGTCAACCTGGCGAGACGGTGGAGGCCATTGTTGAGCGGAGGAGAGAACTGTGCCGGTCGCTGGTATCTCTGGAGTCTATATCTAGTGCAGTAATATATCCACAAACGCTGAAAAGCTGCATTGAGGGCGGGTATATTGTGTCTGCCGAAGGTGCGGCAGGAGCGGGTAACCAGTTTGTTGAATTAAACCACAAGTTGAAAGTGGATTCCCTTCGACCTGACGGGTCTGAGAATGGTGGCAAACTTCTCGGGTCACATCTCCCACCTAGAAGTTCTGTGTTGCTTGTTCCTCAAGCAATGTATGTGTCCGAGATACTACCCATTGCTATGGACTTACTTACGGAGCTGGTCGGTCTGCACTCAAGACGGTGTCGGGGCATATGTTCTTGCGGGTTTCCTACACGTTGTGAAGCGCTGGCACACCCTTCGGAGAATGATGTAAGTTTATATCAGAGCTTGACAAAACAAACTGCCACCGACTGCTGGGCCGCAGCCGGAGGTCAAGATAAAAACCGGATGGTGATTCAAAACAACATCAAAGCCCTCACTATTGCCACCGTCAAGCTCTGTTCCACTCTGCTCAAGATTGACATGACAGAGAGAGTGTTTGGAAAGACGAAGGTACACACACCCCTGGAACAGTCCTTGGAACATTACAAGCGGCTAATGACTTATGTGGTTGATCTGGTCTCCTCCTCGCCTCCGGAACTGAAGGTACAACTTGTAGGCAAACTTCTTACGGACGGTCTTTTATTTGCCTTCAACGGCAACGGGCTGCCTTCCAGTTGTACCGGCATTCCTCCCGTTGTTTTACACGGCTATTGCACCTTATGGCCCTTGCCTGAGTGCGTTTCATTCCACTGCGAATTGGCAACCCACTTTGCAACGGGCGGTCCGGCTGACAAACTGCAGACGGACATGTTCCAGACCTGGCGAGAATCCTGTAGCGTTGCCCGAGAAGCCTCGCTGTTTGTCGCAGAGGTGACCCGGAACCGCACCGTTGCCTATGTCTCCGAGGTCTGTCGCCTCCTCTCCTCGTTTTGGAATACGTGTCAAACACCTGGAGAAACTATGGTGGACCTCAACACCGGTGGACACAGCGAATGGTCCACGGCCGGTCTGAGAGCGTTAATGTACAGCGACCTAATACGAGAACTATACTGCCGCTACGCTCCCATGAAAAAGCTGCTGGAAATTGTTATGAGTGTCCTGAGCATACCGTCACTGGAACCTGTGTGTTTAGCGCACACTTGCATCCGGAACTACGTGCGTTTGGCGTGGAAAAAAGTGGCCCCGAATGTAGTCAACAAGGTCAGGGGCTTCAAGGAGTTCCTGGACGAGCACTCCGCTCTCCACTGCGAACTTTTCCAAGTGGTCACTAGATACGCCGTCTTGGTTCAGGCTCCGAAAGCCTTTGAAGACGATCCCTACGCCGTAGACATTAGCGGCTTGGCGACCAACAGCCTGGCGACCAGTCTCTTGGCTCCTGGCCTCTCAGCAAACAGCAACTTGCCTGAGACCTTGGTACATCACGTGTTCAGCGGAGCGAGCAGCAGTGGCGCGGCGCCTCTGTTCCGAGCGCTGAAGATTGTGCAGGATGGTACGATTAGTCGAGTCGAGGTGCTAGAACTCAAGTCGGAAGAAACATACTACGACTGGGCAGCGAACACGTTGACCGAAATTCTGAGAGGAGCATTCCAGCTGCACTGCCAAAGGTGTGTGCACACGATTTTGCAAAAATCGTCAGGATATAAGTGCAACCCCGCCGAGTTACTAACGAGCATCTCGCATGACCCGAACTTCAAATCATTGATTTTGAGCATGACCTCGAATTTTTCGTACACTCTCGAGCCAGATGCAACTGTGGATTGGATCAGTCAACTCGCGACTCAGTCAGAAGGGAAACAGGCCCTGGGTGAGATCAGGACATTCATCGTCAACAATCTAAGGACGCTGTCCAAAAAATCCTGATTAATTTATCGACAAAAATTAATGAATGATCCACGGAGACCAGAAACAGGCACGTGTTGAGGAGCCAAGGAGCCACCGGGTTTTACTGGTTGCTCGAATGGCATTGCTAACTGGGTCGTTACTAAGTGGATCCACCAAAAAGGGGGTTGCCTGGGGTGGATGTATGGTTAAAAAAGTTCGTCAAAGCTGGACGACATGCAACCTTTTGTAGTATCCATCGGGATCTCCCAGAGACATCTCCACTAGTTCAATTTTGTCACATAACTGGCGTCCAAATGGGGGCTCGACGCTGCTGCTGGTCGTCACTACTCGTCGGCCATCGCTCGTCCCCGTTAGGACCTTCTGAACTATTTGATGATACAGTCGAGGATGCAATTTTATCCTAACACAGAGTAGGGTTGAGGGGATTAGATCGGCAGGATTAGATCGGCAGGGTTAGATCGGCAGGGTTAGATCGGCAGGGTTAGATCGGCAGGGTTAGATCGGAAGTGTGTGCGAGAGCTGGGGGGGAGTGTACTTTGCGTTTTTGTTTTTCCTGTTGGCTTTGCCCATTTTGAAGACGCTAACTTGGGGAACGTAGAAGGTATTTCTGTATCCTGTGATATCGTATTTTTTTAGCAGGGAGCGATCAAGAGGGGTGGAGTGTAGAGATGATTCCAGCGTCTCTCGGAAGGTGGCGGCGGCGGAGCTTCGTTTAATGTCTTCGGGGCTAGGAGTGTAGTCGTTGCTGACGGAGCTACAAGGTTCATTAACAGTCATTGTATTTTGCGCGGCCTCTTCGGCTGCACCTGTGCCATCTCTAGGCCGAGCTAGTTTAACGTGCGAGAGACCAACACCCGTGGCTTGGATCTTATGTTTCAATGCCATCGCACTTGTCCATCCGGCACCGGCTCCCACAATCGTGAGTCCATGTGCTCCGCAAGCTCGAGCCAAATCAACATGCAATGCGTCCAAGATCAACCGCTGGCGAAGTGACGGCGCTACAAACAATAGTCTGGTGTTAAAAGCACCTACCGTCCGGAACTCCAGGTTCAGGGTCTGGGCCATCCGCTTCCGGAACATTTCGATACCCGCATTCATAGCCTGCACAGCCACCTCAATCTCACTCGGCCGCAGAGACAACACCAATAGCGCTAAAACCAAACAAGACATGTCCCGAAAGGTCGAAGGAGAACAAGGGTGGAGTGGTCGAAGGAGAACAAGGGTGGAGTGGTCGAAGGAGGACAAGGGTGGAGTGGTCGAAGGAGGACAAGGGTGGGTGGTCTTACTTAGGTGGAACTTCTGTGGGTTTGTGCGTCCGATGTCGAGGAAGGGGTGTTGTTCGCAGATCGCGTCTTGGAAAGCGACGAAGCGGTCCACGGCGTCTGGATCGTCGATCCGGAAGGCAATAAAGTGGCTGGCACGGCTGCCGCCAGAAACAGGTCGGTCCATCTTGGGTTCGTCCTCCAAGCGGGCGGCGCATTCCATCGAAGACGCGACCGACTCCATGACTGCAGGTCGTTCAGCCATCGTTAAACTCGCGAAGGGCACAGTGCTACGCACCCCCCCTTCGTGACGCACGTCCAGATCAGCCCATTCCGAAACCCGAACGCCGCCACCTTCCCTTTCAACGGGGTCCGTAAATCGGTCCGCAAATCGGTCCGGGTCTTCGAACCGTCTCGTATCCCTGAATCGTCCAGCATCCAGTTCTGGACTTTCGTCTCCGGTGCAGTTGTCAGCTGCAACATAACGTCGTGCCGTGTCACAGCCCCTTGCCCGTATGCGCTCGTCATTGTCATACTTTCCCTCGTTCATCCCGCTCCTAGGAGTCTCATACTCGAGGTCAGAGGAATGTGGGGAAAAAGTCTTGGAGCCGGGCACCACTGGACTTCTGGAAACGTCAGGGTGGATCACCCGGTGCTGGGAATGAACGTTTCCGACGGAAGCTCTCTCACGCGCTCCATAGTAGGGTCCGGCATACTCATCGGATGTGTAATCGGCTCCAGTGTATCGGCGAGCAGCGTAATCCTCACCTCCTCGGTTTTTATCCCCTTGGACATCACCATGGTGGGCCTTGCCTCCTTGGGTGTAGTAGTCGCCACAAATATAGTCCGCAGTGGCTTCATTGTAAGCCGCCACGTTGCCTCCGACTGCGACTGCATTGCCTGCAGCCCCACTGCCTGCAGCCCCACTGCCTGCAACCCCACTGCCTGCAGCCCCATTGCTTGGAGCCCCATTGCTTGGAGCCCGATTGCTTGGAGTTACCTGGACTGTGTTTCTAGCAGCCCCGCCGTTGCCTCCAGGTACTTTGATGGTGGGAGTTGGTGCGTATTGAGTTGAAGGGCGTTCGTCATCATCATCTTCTTCCTCCTCCTGGGTGAGAGGAGACGGACTGCTGGGTTCTAGTTCATCGTCCGGTTCGTGGCATCTTGCTGTAAAGCACTCCAGCTTAGAATCAGTGGGCGGGTCCTTATGAAGTCTTCCTGACGAGGAGCTTCGTCGAAGCCACAGTC